CTAAAAGTGAAGGAGGGGCTGAGGCACTTTCCCAAGGGAATTTCCAAGTGCAGGTGCCAGAGAGTGTTACCACTCCTGACTCTTGGGAGCTACTCAACCGGTAGATTCCTACCATTGCTCAGATTAAGAAAGTTAATTATTGATAGCATTTGTCTGAACTGGAAGGCTGAAAGGACCAGCTGTAGCCTCTTTCATGACTGGGGGGTGGGTGGAAGAAATATAAGGTTTGGGATACTGTGACCATTTTTAAAAGTCAGCCATAAGGATGACAAGGTAATAGTTATCTTGGATAGCTCTCCTCTCCTTGTTTTGTGTAAGTGTGAAGGTGGCATTTTGTTCAGCTCTTTGTTCTTGTGGCTCCATATACTAGAAAGCAAAGTGAATCACAAAACCAGACTGGAAACATCCCCCACCCCACCCAGCAGTAAGTTGGAGTTGAAAGCGCCTGTACATGTGAGAGGGAGAGCAAATGACTTTGCATTCATTATGGTTTAATAGGGTATGGGAATAATTTCTTAGAAATGCAGGTAGTGGATGGTTTAGCAATGTAGAATCCTTGGTGCGCTCTGAGCTTGGTGCTCTCTTGTTTGCTTGAAGACAGAATTAACCTGATTTCATCAGATCTTTGACTCAATTTCATCAGATCTTTGACTCAATTTCATCAGATCTTTGACTCAAACCTTATATTTTTGTACCTGTTCTTATTCTAATTATATTGCACTGACTTTATTATGTGGGGTATTGTATGATCATGGAAGCAAATAGAAAAGACCCAACTATGAAGATGTTAGATGCTGAAATAGGAGAAAAACATAGATTACATGAATTAGGAGTAAAATCATGTGACTGCCAGGAACACGGTCTATTTTTCTTTACAAATTATAGAGGTTGTAATTGCAAGGAAGAGCATGGTGGAATAACAGAGTTGCAAGGGACGCTGGGGATTTTCTAGTCCAACCCTGCTCAAGCAGGAAACATTATACCATTTCAGACAAATGATTGTCCAATCTCTTCTTAAAAATTTCCAGTGTTGTATCACTTATAACCTCTGGAGGCAAGTCGTTCCAGTAATTAATTTCTCCTTAGTTCTAGGTTGGTTCTTTCCTTGATTAGTTTCCATTCACTGCTTTTTGCCCTGCTTTCAGGTGCTTTGGAGAATAGATTGACTCCCTCTTCTTTGTGGCAGCCCCTGAGATATTGGAACACTGCTATCGTGTCACTCATAGTCCTTCTTTTCATTAAACTAGACATACCCCATTTCTGCACCCATTCTTCATATGCTTTAGCCTCCAGTCTCCTAAGCATCTTTGTTGCTTTTTTCTGCACTCTTTCTAGAGTCTCCACATCTTTTTTTATATTGTGGTGACATTTCATAGACATCGTAAATCACAGACATTTATTATTTTAAAAGTGAATGCCACAAATCATTCTGAAGATTGCACTACCCATCTATATCTCAGAAAAAATTTGGACCCGATTGAACAGTATCCCTCCCTCTCTTCCTCCCTCTCCCCCCTCCCCCCTCTCTCTCTGTGTCTGTGTCTGTCTATGGAACTATTATTCGTGCATGTTTGTTGATGACCAGTCTATCTTCCCTATGTGTCCATCTGCCCTTGTGACTAACAACAGGATGATACAAAATTTCTGCTGCTGCTTCCTGACCATGCAGCTCATTTGTTTCCTTTCTCCTCTTTCCCTTTGCTTGAGCCAAACTACTGGCAGACACCAGGGCCAGCTTCCTTCCTGCTTTTGTTTGTTCTGGGCAACCTGTTCTAATTTTTACTGGGTTTATGTTAATAATGCTGATCACTATCATTGGGTGGGCTTTTTCAGTTCCTTCAGCAAAAGGAACCCCATTAATGACCTAACACTAGGATAATAGGAATGGATCGCTAAAGCCCAAAATATCAGCAGAGAGAATATTTACTATACAGCAAATAGTACTATGCAAAGGTGTGAGACTGGGAAAATCGGCATACCAGCATCTCCTTAGAAGACACTGAAATGGTAGCAAAGCATATTAGATGTCACTTCTATTTCATTGTGATAGCAGATGGTGAAAACTGACCCAAACTATTCTTTTTTTTTAAAAAAAGAAATGGATACAGTGGGCTTGAGAGCCAGTTTTCTGTAGTGGTTAAGGCACCAGGATAGAAACTGAAACCATGAATTCTAGTTCTGCCTCCAACATGAAGCCAGCTGGGTGACTTTGGGCCCGTCATTCTTAGTCAGCCTCATAAAGTAGTCCAAGTAAGAAGCACACCAGAAGTGTACTAGCTATATTTTATCGTAAGGTTACTTTAACCTTACAAGTCTGGAAGTCCTTTTCTCCCCATTGTCTTTATAGCCCAAGGAACTGGGAGGGTCCAACCTGTGACATTTGCTATGACAACATTCCTTCTGCATCTAAGCTGCCTGTTGTCCAGGCATTCCTCTGGCTGTGGGTCTTTTCCCTGTCTCCCAAGATTATTTCCACATACAATACCATTACATTCTCTTTAAGCCCTACGAAGAAAGAGTGGCAAGCTACTTCTGAAATCTTGCCAAGAAAACTGCAGGGACTTGTCTAGGCAATTGCCAGGAGTCGACAATTACTCAAAGGCATGAACATACACGGTGGGTTTGGGAACTTTATGTGGACCTTCAATTTGAGACATTTGGGGTATATTGGAAAAGCATTTGTACACACTATATGAAAATATGAGGTTGAGTTAGTCCTGGGATGCATTAGTAGCCAACATTTCTTGGAACTTTTAAAAAAGAGTTTTAGATATTCAGTCAAAAGTTACAAATCAAAAGTTGCATTCCGTAAACTGACACTGCAAGGGATAGAAGTCTCTATCTTGACATCAAATCAACATAACGTGTGACATCCTGCTATTGCTTTCTCTGTTTTCTTATCTTTGATTTCTAGCAGCTAATCAAGAAACACGAAGAGTGTTGCTATCACATTGCACATCATGCCCATGTCTTGTCCATACACAGGCAGAAGAATGAGGTGATAATTGAATTGGAAATAATTGAATTACAGTCCTTGAAAGGGCTATATCCTTTCAGCTTTGGTAGCTGAGCTGTAGCAGTCAAATAAACACCTGACAGGGACCAGGTTAGGATAGAGCAGGTGTCTTGATTTTTTAAAAAAATATGCAAATAACTTGCAAATGCAAATAAAGAAATAGTACAAATAGCAACCTACACCTCAGAGTGAAGTGGTATAATTGGTTCTTCTTGCTTTAAGAATCTGCCATCTTGATTTTGTTCATTTTTTAAAAGTATTACAAGAAGGATAGCAGGAGGAGATATCTGTTGCGTCAGCTCTGTATTTTGTAGAAAATCTGCTTCTGCCATAAGAATGAAAAATGACTATGTCTCAAATCTTTCTTAATGTGAAGGAAGTTCAGTTTGACCAATAAGCTTGTCTTCTATTTCTTGTCTTCATGAAACTATGGATTTTCACCATTGCAATTTCTAAATAGACATCCTTTTTAGCAACTATTCCAGCTTTAAGTGATAAGATTGAAAGCTACTTGGTCATTGCCTATAAAATGAACTACCTAATAACATAAAAAAATATGCAACTTGTTGGTATTTCTGAATCCGCATAGATATGGAAGCATGGTAAGAGTTACAAGCTCAGACATGCCAAACCTTGTAAAAATTATAAAAGAGTGGGAAATGTAGAACATTAAACCATCACATAAAGTATTGTACATGTAAGGTATCCCATCTTGATTCTACTGGAACTCTAAACTAGCTAGAGTTTGAGTTGGGTAGGTTTGTATGCATAAGAGTGTATGCACACACTTGTATGTATGAATGAGTGAGTAAAGCTTTTCATTCACAAAGAGAACAATAAAATATTTAATTAGCATTTGTTTCTACATGAATTTGAATTTTGAATTTGAATTTGAATTTGAATTTGAATTTTTTTGAATTTGAATTTGAATTTTATTATATTTATACCCCGCCCTTCTCCCGGAGGACTCAGGGCGGCTTACAGCCAGTTTAAAAACAACTAATACAATACAATACAAAATTTAAGAAAATGATTAAAAATAAATATTAAAATAGGCCGCTTCTACTAAAATTTAGTTAAAACCAATTTAAAATACCCCTAGGCCAGTCCTGCCCGCTGAAACAACCAAGTCTTGAGGGCGCGGCGGAAGGAGGGGAGATCCGGAATCACCTGGATCTCTGGGGGCAGCTCGTTCCAGAGACTTGACTTGAATCTCTGCATAACAATAAATAGCATGGGAGGGATTATAAAGATTTTGCCTACTAAGATGTGTGAGAGCTCCACACAGAGTATATTACAGTAATCCAAACTGGATGGGAGCAAAGCATATTTAATAGTACCTCATCTAGTTTCACCAAAATGGATGAAACTGGCAATTGGTATAACTACATCTAGACAATAATATCTGGGGATAATGATAAAGGGTCACACATTGTTCATCTGTGATCCATGTAATTAGAAGTAGAATAAAATATTTGATGAACTCAGGTTAATCTGTACTATAGTATTATGGCAATTGTACAGATTATTTTTTAATTAGATTTATATCCCACCTTTTATTCTGGTGCTCAAGGAAGTAGCATTCCTTTATCCCAAAAACAACCCTGTGAAGTAGGTTGGACTGAGAGAGAGTGAGTAGCCCAAAGTTCCACCATGAGCTTCCATAGTTGAGGATGGACTTCATCCAGATTACCCTGTGTCATATAAATTACTGTGTTGGTTTAGACACTATACTGTATATTGAAGAGTATAGTGAAATACTTTCCACTGTGCCTCACTATATGCTACAATACTATACAATTATGCAGCCTGCCTTTTAAAAATTAAGGTAGATGCCAGTCCCATTCACCCATGTGTCTGTTGTATAAAAAAGAAGCATCGTTGCCTGAAAAATAATATGAATATTACAAGGTGATTTCTACACTCTCTTCTTCACCCTTCAGTGCAGATTGAAACTAATTATTCTCTCTCCTGTTTTCTATAGATGGGATCCACAGTGTTGCTGCCCAATGCATGCTGCAGGTGACCATTATCACAGATGAGATGCTGACCAACAGTATCACTTTGCGGCTGGAGAACATGTCCCAAGAACGCTTCCTTTCACCACTGCTGGCTCTCTTTCTTGAAGGAGTAGCNGGTGGCATTTGCTTATTAAAAGGCAGTGTTGGTCATGTGTATACAATTGTAAAACAAGGGGTGTGCTTCCACAAACAAAGGAATCCTTAGATACAGAGCAAGTGGAATTGGTGTATGGAATAGCGAAGACTTACATTTGTTGATTTTCTATTCCAAATATGCTGGATTTCAATTTCAATAATTTTCAACGAATCCTGAAGGCCGAAGAAACTTGGTGTCTTATGAAAACCCGGATCGTTGAAATGACTTTTGCAATACTGTAGTTATTTAAAGCTTGTTTAAGAGAGCTTGTCTCTATTGGATTCTGTTTCTCTTACTGTGTTCCAAAATATGCCATAAATCAAAACTGGTGAGATAAAGTATATTCATATATAGGAAGAATGCTGCCATTTTTTTGCCAATGCATGTACCATTTCCTCTGATTTTTCTCAGAGTGATCTTTACAATGTGGTACCCTGGCAAAATATTTAAGTTATCCTTTCATCATATATTGGGAGTTGCAGGTTCCATATTGTATTTCTGTCATTTTTTCTGCTTCCAGTTTGTAGTTTTCTGATGAAAGGACTTTGCCCTCTCACTTGGAACATCTCACTGAGTTTCAAGCAGACTTTTGTGGTCCAAATAAGTTTTTTTAGTAATGTAAAAACTTGTTGAATGCTGTCCCTGTGTAAAGCATTGCCTCAGGCAACTGCTCAGGTATGTTTTACCACACAACTGAATCTGAACAAGATTCTTGTATTCCAATAATCCCAATCTTCCAGAGTCTCAGTATTTCCTTTCCACGCCTTAACCTTCTACCTTCTGTATATCAACACTGACAAAGGGGGAATGTTTTATTTTGATTATTTTCTTTTTGTAATAATTGGAAATGAGGCAAGGAAAGGAAAAATGTTTGGATATGATACAGCTAATTCAGAAGTAATATTGTCTAGACCAGAGTTTCTCAACCTCAGCAAGTTTAAAATTAAAATTAAAGTTTAACTTGCTGGCCACACCTCCCCCCTGCATTTCCTGCTCCCCCTTTGCTCATCTTTTTAATTTCATATTATTGCATTTCCACTGTTTATTTTTATTGTTTTATTCTTTTGCTATCGTTATTTTTACATTTTGTAATCATGGGTAGCATATACATTTAATACATGAATGAATGAATGTGTGGACTTCAAATCCTAGAATTCTGGGAGCTGAAGTTGCAACATCTTACAGTTGCTGAGCTTGAGAAACACAGGTCTACAAATTTTATCCTATGTTTCAAAGGAATGCCCATGCTAGTGTTCTTCAGCATATGACATTTAAGTCTATTTGGGATAATTATGAGAAAGCAGCAATATAGTATAGTAAAGTTGTGAGGTTTCTGCATTTGCTGTACAGTTGAGCTGTTAACTTCTAGTCATCCGTGTCACAAGAGAAAACAGTGGTTAGGAATGGGCATCTATACAGCAACCATCTGGAATTTAATTATTAGAGTGGAAACTGAATCAGGTTTGAACTATCCAGAAACAAAAATATTAAAGCTAAATATACTGTGTGAAGTATAGTGACACCTTCAAAATTGAGGGCGACTGCTTAATTTGGACATACCTAAACTTTTTAGTCAAGATGGCATGCTTACAGTGTTTGAACATGGTGGTTCTTGATGTGTTTAAACTTAAATTTCTGTTTTGTTAGAAAGCAACTTGATGAGGAAGTTCCCTGCCATATCTTTTAGCCCCAGGATACCTCCTACCACATTCCATTTATTTGCCTTCTTTCTGCATAGATGGGAACGGTTCCAAAGAAAGCATTGGGTTGCAAATTACATTGCATTTTTTATTTTCTAAGGGCCCAGGTAAATTTCAGAAGTATTGTATGAAATGAAGACAATTCTGGAAGCTATTATTTTGCTTTGGAGCATTCCATAATTCCATATAATTTTTTTTCTATAGGATTGTAGCAAATCCGGGCTTATACATAACAATCTTCCTTTGTCATCTACCTTCTGCCATTACTTCTTGAATTTTTACTAGCAGCTTTTAGCTAAGTGGTTATACCTGCATCCATATTATACTTGGAGTGTTCCTCCCATGGTAGTGGAATGTGCTTTGACCACCTTGTCAGAACCCAAACATTGATTTCATGGACAGCATCATGTAATTAACAAGTGGGAGCCTTTATAATCTTTTGTATTCCTTTCTTTGACTGAATAGTAAGATTCTTTAATTTTGTCACATTCCTAGTTGTAGAATTGGGGCTGTGGCCATTTTTTTCCTGAAGTTCTCCGAAGTCTCTGGATTCCTTTTCTTACTGAAGTGAATGCAGCATTACCTTTCATTTTTGGATGAAATGTTTAGTAAATGCAAACCTGGGCCATTGTTTAATTCTGAACTACAGTTGCAATTCTGTGTCCGTTTACTGTGTGGGTATACTGTAATAATAAAGAGGTAAACAGATTCATAAGTACACTGTAATTTAAATAGAAATATTATTAATGTTAACATGATTGGGAAGATTGCAGTTAGTGGTCTGTTTGCTCTTCAGATACTGATTTGGGATGAGCAAGTGGACAGTCTCTGACATTGGTCCCATTATTATTGAACAGAGGACTGTCCTCTATTAAATGGGAAACATAGTTAATTCACTTGAGTGTTTTTGAACTCAATGGACAATAGACCAATAGTTTTATTAAAGCAAACTAAAGTTTACCACAATGAATTCAAACAAATTTTGTGACATTTTAATGGGAACTAATAAAAGATATTGCCTGCATCACACATCATACCAGGCCATTCATTTGTCTGTTCCTTAGAATGTTATGTGTCAGTTGTGGTTTATTGGATAATAAAATATAGTTAGGTAATCCATTTCAAGCTTGATCTGTGAAACTACTCATTGCCTTATTGTAGATTTTGGATTTTTTTTTTTAATAGACCGGTATGCCTGTCATTTGGCTTTTATAAATTTAACAGAATTTACTTCTGAGTAGACATGTATAGAATTATAATGCAAGGGTACTTCAGTAAATATAGGTATGGGGTATTTTGCATATAGGTCTGAAAACCCATAGGGTTGCTAACCATAAAGAGATAACTTGAGGAGTCTATGGAAGGAACCTCCATTTCATGCATTGTGAGTACAATCCACTTTTGCCATACTGCTTCTAATTCAGCACTGAGGGCTTCTGCTTTGTATGCTGGGCTTAGGACATATGCAGTAGTTCTGAAATATACCTTAAGTATCTCTGACTAAAAGTGAAGGAGGGGCTGAGGCACTTTCCCAAGGGAATTTCCAAGTGCAGGTGCCAGAGAGTATTACCACTCCTGACTCTTGGGAGCTACTCAACCGGTAGATTCCTACCATTGCTCAGATTAAGAAAGTTAATTATTGATAGCATTTGTCTGAACTGGAAGGCTGAAAGGACTAGCTGTAGCCTCTTTCATGACTGGGGGGTGGGTGGAAGAAATATAAGGTTTGGGGTACTGTGACCATTTTTAAAAGTCAGCCATAAGGATGACAAGGTAATAGTTATCTTGGATAGCTCTCCTCTCCTTGTTTTGTGTAAGTGTGAAGGTGGCATTTTGTTCAGCTCTTTGTTCTTGTGGCTCCATATACTAGAAAGCAAAATGAATCAAACAAAACCAGACTGGAAACATCCCCCACCCCACCCAGCAGTAAGTTGGAGTTGAAAGCGCCTGTACATGTGAGAGGGAGAGCAAATGACTTTGCATTCATTATGGTTTAATAGGGTGTGGGAATAATTTCTTAGAAATGCAGGTAGTGGATGGTTTGGCAATGTAGAATCCTTGGTGCGCTCTTAGCTTGGTGCTCTCTTGTTTGCTTGAAGACAGAATTAACCTGATTTCATCAGATCTTTGACTCAATTTTTGTACCTGTTCTTATTCTAATTATATTGCACTGACTTTATTATGTGGGGTATTGTATGATCATGGAAGCAAATAGAAAAGACCCAACTATGAAGATGTTAGATGCTGAAATAGGAGAAAAACATAGATTACATGAATTAGTAAAACCATGTGACTGCCAGGAACACGGTCTATTTTTCTTTACAAATTATAGAGGTTGTAATTGCAAGGAAGAGCATGGTGGAATAACAGAGTTGCAAGGGACGTTGGGGATTTTCTAGTCCAACCCCGCTCAAGCAGGAAACATTATACCATTTCAGACAAATGATTGTCCAATCTCTTCTTAAAAATTTCCAGTGTTGGATCACTTATAACCTCTGGAGGCAAGTCGTTCCAGTAATTAATTTCTCCTTAGTTCTAGGTTGGTTCTTTCCTTGATTAGTTTCCATCCACTGCTTTTTGCCCTGCTTTCAGGTGCTTTGGAGAATAGATTGACTCCCTCTTCTTTGGGGCAGCCCCTGAGATATTGGAACACTGCTATAGTCCTTCTCTTCATTAAACTAGACATACCCCATTTCTGCACCCATTCTTCATATGCTTTAGCCTCCAGTCTCCTAATCATCTTTGTTGCTTTTCTCTACACTCTTTCTAGAGTCTCCACATCTTTTTTTGTATTGTGGTGACATTTCATAGACATCAGGCCAGTGGCAGAATGATCTGGCATTAGGGGAGATAGTCATTGAGCCCTTGTCATGGTCAGATCACTCTCTCCTAAGGATGGACTTCCGGACCGCTCCCCCTCGCCGCAGGGTGTCGGAACCACCTAGAGGGTTCCGTCCCAGGCGACTGATGGACCCTGAGAGGTTCCTGACGGAGCTTGGGCCATATCCGGAGG